GGGGGGACACGGGGACACGGGGATATGGAGACACGGGGACACAGAGGGGACACAGAGGGGACATGGGGACACGGCGGGGACATGGGGACACGGGGACATGGGGACATGGCACAGACATGGCGGGGACACGGGGACATGGTGGGGACATGGCGGGGACACAGCGGGGACACAGAGGGGACACGGGGGCATGGTGGGGACACAGGGATACAGGGACACAACGGCGACATGGGGACATGGGGAGACTTGGGGACATGGGGACACGGCAGGGACACGGGGACACAGGGACACGGCAGGGACACGGGGACATGGCGGGGACATGGGGACACAGGGACATGGGGACACAGGGACATGGGGACACAGGGACATGGGGACACAGGGACACGGGGACACAGTGGGTACATGGGGACGTTGGAGACACGAGGGGACACAGCGGGGACACAGAGGGGACACGGGGGCATGGTGGGGACACGGGGACACAGCAGGGACATGGCAGGGACACAGGGACACGGGGACATGGCGGGGACACAGGGATACAGGGACACAACGGGGACATGGGGACACGGTGGGGACACGGGGACACGGGGGGTACATGGGGACATTGGAGACACGAGACACGAGGGGACACAGCAGGGACACGGGGACATGGGGAGACTTGGGGACATGGGGACACGGCAGGGACACGGGGACATGGCGGGGACACGGGGACACAGGGACATGGGGCACGGGGGGTACATGGGGACATTGGAGACACGAGGGGACACAGCGGGGACACGGGGACATGGGGAGACTTGGGGACATGGGGACACGTGGGGGTCATTGGGACATGGGGACACAATGAGGGGACATCGGGTCACCGGAGGGTTTGGGGACACGGGGGTGACCCCGTGGGGTGTCTGGGGACATGGGGGTGACACTGTGGGACTGGGGGACAATGAGGTGACACTCTGGGATTTGGGGACGATGAGGTGACCCTGTGGGCTCGGGGCGCGGGGGGGATTTGGGGACACGGGGGTGTCTGGGGCCACGCGTGTCACACACGTGTCCCCGCGCTGTCCCCGCAGTCCCGGGCGGGTGGAGCCCCTGGGCGCCCTGGGGTCCCTGCTCGGTCACCTGCGGGGGGGGGTCCCAGCGGCGCCACCGGAGCTGCTCCAGCCCCGCCCCCCGGTGCGGCGGCTCCTGCGGGCCCGGGGCCGGCGAGGAAAGCCGCGAGTGCCGCGGGACACCCGCGACGTGTCCCGGTGAGGGGAGGGGACACCGGGGAC